TAACACAGTAGACCCGCGTTCAAAGTTTAACAAGCGCGCAGCTTCCGCGATTGCGGCTGCTACTGACCTCCACGTGTAAACATCTCGTTCGGACGCTCACTGCCAGCTTGCCACCAGCCCTCAGCGCGCGGCTGGGGGGAGGGGTAGGGGTCGGAGTGGGGCCGTGGTCCGCACAGTCACCAAGTGACTCATCCGGACTCTGTGGTAGGTAGGGCTTCGTGATCGGCGGATGTACCATTCAACAACATAAACATGCTATGACGTAACAGGCAGGTGAGAACGGAAGTCGGCTGAGGGCTAAGAGCCTCCGAAAAAATATTTACATCGGAGGGGGCTGGGGGAGCGGGGGATTACGTGATCCCCGATTGTTACTAAGGCTCCGGGAAGATGGTTTTGGGTGCGACTTGTTTATCAAGGCTCTTGGTAGCTACACGAACTCACACTTGTTAATTGGAAGGCACGCGTCTTAGATACACGGCTTATACTAGATGCCGTGGCAACCACCTGTATAAAAAAGCACGTGGCTAATGCTTTCTGAGCTTGGCGAAGCTAACAAGGGATGCGCTCAAAACGCCGGCCTAGCAGTCTCGTAGATCTCGCACGCACACATGCCTGTTATCACAAGGTTTACGCTAAACCTGCAAAATCTGGTCCACTCAAGCAACACTTAAAAATAAAAATGAGAGGGGTTCACGGTGGGATCTTTGAATAAAATAAATGACAAATCAGGTGTTGCCAGTAGTCGAACTTCAGGTTATTTTACAAACAAAGCTAATAAAGTGACCATTCCTGGATTCGCTATTAATGTCAGCCTACCAAACATACCAGGACAGTGGCATGCGAAGTTTAGTTCGGTGATGTCTGTTACACATGATCTTAATGTTGGTTGGGCAGTGAAGCTAGAACACGGACCTTTGTAATTAAATAAATTCTTAGATGTCCTTGACCGAACCTCAACAGTGCGTTCATGTAACAGGGTACCTTAGCCTGTTAACCCATACATGTGCTGCCTAAACAAGGTCCTCCCCCTTTGTATAGTTCACTGAGTAGGATGAATGCGATTCATTCTTCTTTTTTGTTTTTCTTCTTTTTCTTTGTCTTCTTCCTCTTCCTCTTCTGTTTCGTTCCCCAGGATTCTACTTCCCTGTTACTTACGAAATTATAAAACTTTATATACGAATTTAGAGTAGAAGTCGAGATTAGATTCCTATTAGTGTGCAGGTTATTGGCTACGGAGGATACCAATCTTTTTTTCACAGATAACCAGTGAAGTAGAAAATCTAGGTTTATTTTCCCTCCTCCCCTCCCCCCGACTTCCCATTGTGCAAGAAAATAAATTGACATCCGCTACGTCAACCACCACCACCTTCATCACAATCGCTAGTTTGATCTCTACTGTATATCCCAGGGGTTGGGTGGGTGGATGAATTACGCATAAATTAGATATAAGGTGTAGTAGATTTGCACAGCATTTGTCGCGCTCTCCCCCTCTCCTCCGCTACCCATCTCGATCCGATGGCGGACCAAAGTCGATACGATAACGACAATCAGGGCCGCTGTCCCCATCGCGGTCCCTTCTAAGGGGAGGGTAGAGGGAGGATGAAATCACATGGACTCCCACTACCTCCTGTTCTAACATCATTCCTTCTCAGAAACTGGGACTGGACATTGAAGCCATCGGCGCCTTACGTTAACCAGGGCGCCAGGATGTCCTCCTCCTCCACCCAGCTAGCCATCAATCAACCGTTTCTGCTTTCCGGTGGGTGATTTCATCGAAGATGACCCAAGTCAACAACCGTTAACTGTCTACCAG